CCAGTCATGTGTTGGGTCCCACCACGTTTCAGTGAGCCCCATTATGTCTGGGTTGGTGTCAGCTAGCAGGAGGGTAAGTTCCTCTTGCTTGTTTCCTTCAAGGGCCCTTGCAGGTTTGTTTGCCCCCCAGCCAACAGGGCAAGGTCTACCTGTTGCAATTTGTCAACACTCAACCTCTGCTTCCACCAGCTGGAGGTCACCTAACCTTTGCTCCTGCTGGGCTGGGTCAAGTGAGTACTGCAGCTGGTGAAGGGGACCCTTTGCCTCTTCTTTGGAAACTGAGGCAGAATGATGGGCATCTGCCAACTTAAGGTTGAGACCACACCTGTTCCTGGCTTCACCCACTCTAGGGGTTATAAAGGCTGGGAGAAGTGAGAACCCATTGCTCCTTGCATCTCTACACCCCAGCGAGCCTTGGAAGGGCCTGGACTGAGACCAGACGAGCTGGACCAGCCTGAGACTGGACCGGGCCAGCTGACCAGGCTGTGCGGGGTGCTTGGGGGGTGATGCAGTGTGGGACAGTGAATGGAGCCAGGCAGCCTGGGGAGGTCCAAGAGGTAAGCTGGATCCAAGCCAACACCCAGCAAAGGTGGGTTGGGGGGCAGCTCAGGTCAGATATCAGTGTCTGTGAAATACAGAATACCTTGCGCAAGCAGGTAAAATATTGCAATAAGGTCTATAGGTCTGTACCAAAGTCCCCTCTGGGTCCCCCAGCCCTGCCAGGCTCACTGAAGGCCTGCCCAACCAGAAGGGCTTGCTGTGCTTCCAGAAGTCCAGGCTGGGGCTCTGATAGACCCCAGGAGGCAGGGAGCTCCAGAGCTGAGGGGCAGCTGCTGCAAATGAGCCCCCACGCACTTGCCCTAAGCAAGCTTGGTTCACAGAGGGCCTTTACAGGATGTTGCTCTGAGCTGACCTTCTCGATCAGGATGGGACATAAGGGAAGAGATGGTCCTTTAGATCAGTGCTTCCCAACCTTTTCCAACCCACAGCACACCTGTTAAGGCATTCCCCATCCTCATACCTATTGTAGTGCATTGAAGCTCATTGACATGGCACAGGTTGAAGCACACCTGTTCATTTCTGATGGCACACACCACTTTAGATATCTGGGGCCCAGGGCTTTAGGACTTTCTAGATCCAGACAAGCACCCTGAATTGTCCCCAAAAAGCTACTGGGAGCCAGTGCAGATTGGCACACCAGAGCAATGTGCTCCTGGTGACCCACCCTCATCAGAAGATGGCCAGATTTTTCTACACTAATTTCAGCTTCCAGGTGGCTGTTGTGGTCAGCCCCACAGAGCGCATAAGGCCATCGACTAGCCACAATGTTGAAAAAACACGGAGGAGATGGATATGTAAAAGTTTCCACCTACTCTGCCTTTGAGAAGCAACATGGCAAAGAACAGGAAAAGGAGCAAGCAGAGGTGTGAACTGGGTTTAGTGGCCAGGTGAGGGACCAAATCTGACAGTGTGAAATCATCTGTATTTGGCATGTTCTTTGGGAGGAGGCTTTGGTTACTGACAACACATTTAAGTTGGAAAGAGGCAAAGAACTGCAATTAGTGAAATCCTAACTGTGAGGCATATTGTACCTTGCAAGTGAAAGAGACTGAAAGGTTTTACATGTGTACCAACATCTGATGAAACCCTACAGCAGGACATCACAGAGTGAAGGACACACAGCAAGACCAGGGACTCCAACGAGCTGGCAGAGTCTCTGAGCAAAGACTGTATAACAGTGAAGACTGTGTTATTTTCTGGGTGTCCTGGTTGAGAGCTGGAGGCTCAGATCCCCCTGATCCCTGTGCAGGGCTCCTTGGGCTGATGCTGGCCCTGTCCCAGCCCGGGAGGAGAAGCTCACTGTTCTCCTAAAGGGGGAGGCACCAGGGCTCCCAGCAGGTGCAGTGGTGGGTCTGGAGGGGCCTTTGCCACTGACGAGGTTTGAAATGAAATCTGTAAGAAATAAGGTTTAGTGGAGGCAAGTACAGGGCATATTTTTTATTTTTCCCAAGGAAAACTGAACACATTCAGGCAACTTTGAGTTTTTAGGCAGTTCAGCCCCAAATACCAGCTCTGACAGACCTGAAACCTCTTGGCTGACAGGAGGTGCACTGAGAAGTGTTGGGTGCATTGAACTCTTGGCTAATGGCATGTATATTTTTCAGCAGACAATCAGATTCATTTCCCAGAAACGAAACAAGTGTGAGCCCAGCTCTGAGCTCAGGGAAGTGAAACTAGCCCTGCCCCCTCTCAGATCACAGCCATGGCTTCCGGGAGCTCGGTACAAAGCCTCCGGGATGAAGCGACCTGCTCCATCTGCCTGGACTTCTTCAGTGATGATCGTGGGCTGCGGGCACAACTTCTGCCGAGCCTGCATCACCCAGTGCTGGGAGGGGGCCGAGACGGACGTCACCTGCCCCCAGTGCAGACAGACCTTTCCCCGGGGGACCCTGGGCCCAAACAGGCAGCTGGCGAATGTTGCAGAGCTAGTGAAGGGCCTGAGCAAGCGGTCAGCTGTGGAAGCCAGAGGGAAGATGACGTGTGAGGAGCACGGGGAGGCTCTGAAGCTTTTCTGTGAGACAGACCAGATACTGATGTGCTTGATCTGCCGGGAGTCCCAGGTGCACCAAGCTCACTCCGTGGCTGCCATCCAGGAGGCTGCCCAGCATTGCAAGGTACAGAGGCGTGAGTCCGGTCTGGCTGTACAGCTGGGTGGGACTTACACTTCCCTTTTAGCGCTGGGTTTTGTGGAAGCCTCTGTGCAAACACTCCTACTAGAAGGAAGAGAAAAGGATCATCTCAGGGATGTTTTGTCATGAAATGCTTCTGTTTCAAAACAGAGGAAGCAGGGAAGCCACTCCCTGGCTCTGGACACAAAGAGCAGCTGAAAGTCTTCCAATGTCACTGCAGCAGGGATGACCCACAGTTGCGTGTGAAGGGCTGTGGCTTGAAACCAGGGGCATCAGGCACCAGTTTCTCTTCAGTTGTTACAGCCCTCCCTGGTAGCTGCCTGGAGACTTTTGTAACTGGGGTGGCAGCCCAATAGTTGCCACTCCTGCCCAATATCAGGGGTGGTGTGGTGATAGTAGGGCAGGGCTTCCAGCCAGCACCAATTCACTTTTCAGCCAGCCCCTCCTCCCCAGAGAGCAGCCCATGGTCCCAGGGTCTAACACTTAACTGATTTAACTATTTACACTTTATTTACAAAACAAGAATAATAGGAAAGGTTATTTCCAAGTGAACGTAAATGGCATAACCAGAATCACAAAACAAACCAGAATGCATTCATCAGCCCGTGACTCAAGAGCCACAGGTAGGGGAACTGGCAGCTGGCAGCCACTGCTGAGATGCTACCACAAGGAAGCAAGGTGCTCACTCCCAGCAGCTCTAACAGGCTTCCCAATAAGTTACAGACTGCAACAGGTTAAGTTCCTCTGGTCTGCAGCAATTAAATCATATCAAACCCCAGTCCCCCAAAAAGGCAGGAGCGTGACCCTGCATGGCAACCAAAAAGGCAAGAAACAGAGTAGGCTCCTGCAGCAATCGGCATGACCCAAGCACAAAGCTCAGGGACGCCATCCGATGACAATCAGCTGCAGAATAAGGGACAGGACTGAGTCCCCTCTGGGGCAGTCAGTGGCAGAGGGTCAGCAGCTCAGGCAGCTCCCAGGGGTCATTGCTCTAGACCCCTGCTCCAGATGACTGCTGGGCACCCCACACACCTCACAGCTCGCCAATCCTGCTCCGAGCACCGGCCTGTGCCCCGAGCTCCCAGGGACCCTCGTCCAGGCGCTCTGCCACTCCTCAGGATCCCAGTGCCTTGCCTGCTGCTGTCCTGCTTCCCCAGGGAAGATAAGGGGTTTCCTCCACTCACTGGCCCAGCTCCCTGCTCTGGATAAGGATGCCGCCTGCACTCCTGGCCGCTGCCTCTTCTCTGCAGTGGAGCGGGGGCCAACTGCCACCCCAGCCTCTGGGACGTCCAGCACGTCCAGCACACTGCCATGGGGCGTTGGGGCACCAGCTCTCTGCCCCAAGCCCTGGCTGCGGCTCTCTCTCTGCTGCAGGGCTGGAGGCACGGCCGACTGCCGCTGCCTTCTTCTCCCAGGGCCGTCGTGGCTCTTCAGAGGGGTCTCTCTGCTCCCTCCTCTGGGTCAGCTCACCCCAGCTCTTCTTAGACCTCCTGTGTCGTTCCCCGGAGTCACTGTCAGTAGCCCCCCAACACCAGTTCTGCTGCTGGTTTTATCCGCTCTGGCCGTCCCTCCCTGGCTTGCAAACTGGCCAACCAGGGCTCAGGGTGGCGGGCCCCCAACTCTGGCCATCCCCCTTCCCTGCAAATGATGGGATTGAAAACCCCTTCTTTTGACTGGCTTCTCCTTCTCCCCAGGACAGGGCTCCCCTGCTCCACCCTTGGGGTCGCTCAGACTTCACCGGCACTGTTTCTAGCCCAGGGTAAGTATCTCGAGCCGATCTGGTGAGCCCACACTGGCAGTCTGTTACACTTCTTTGGGGCCAGGGAGGGATTGTAGTGCATTGATAGACTCTGTCCCCCTTCTACACAGCCCCGTGTGGCATACTCTGGAAGGCAGGTCTTGCTCATCGCATCTGCCACTAGCAGTGACTTCCCAGGCCAGCAGCTGATGCTCACATCAGTGTGGAAGTCTCAATAATATGTGTTGTTTTGGTGTCCTAAGGGGGAGCTTCAGGGGCTAATGATGGGTCCAGAGGGGAAGCAGTGAAACCGCCCCAGTCCAGCGAGAGTGGCTAGGAGCTACTTTTGTATCTGAGAACCTCCTTTTCCTGTCTCTGCCCAGGCCTGGCTAGCAAATGATGAGTTGTACTGGTTCTGCATTAATGCTACTCTTTTTGAGGCTTCCCATTGTAGCTGTATCTGTGCTGCTGGGTTGTAATACTTCAGGACTTGTGTCTTGCTTCTGAATGACTTTGTTTCAGTGCACAGAGACCAGATCTGTGGCTTGTCCTGCTTGGCTGCCTAAGACTGGCTGGGACTCTGGAGTATCGACCATGGTGCATCCCAGGCCGTATTGTTTTCTGTTCAGTGCATCTCGCTGACAGTCTGCACCTCCTCACTGGCTGTAGCATTGCTTTGTGGCACACCCCAGAACCTGCTCGTATTCTTCAATCTGCTCTTCCTGCTGGAAGCTGGCTGCTTGCTGCTCTGTCTCTACATACACACTATTCAGTGCTGCAGCTTCCAGGCAAAGGGAGTACTGCACTGGGAGCTGCTGGTCCAGCTTGAGCACATGGAGCTTACTGGTGCCATGCTCACAACACACTCTCAGGCAGCCCGCTCGGTTATGGTGGGGGAAAAGACTCCAGCTTCTCCCTGCAAAGGAAAACTGACCCAAGGAATTTTCCTTCCCTCAGGAACAAATTCAGACTCAGCTGCACCTTCTAAGGGGAGAGAGGAAGAGGCTTGAAGACCTGAGAGTGAGTGAAAGTCAGAAACAGGAATATCAGGTGGGTGCTGCTGGGGTCAGGCTGAAATGGTGGACGGAGGAAGGGTCATCTCCTGCTCTGCACGTTTGGTGGAGCACAGTGCCAGAGCACTGAAGTTTGGTGCCCAGGGCAAAACTGGCAGTGGCAGGCCACCCTCACTTGTGCACAGATCTGGGTGGGGGCACACTCCCCCCACCATGGTTGCCAGGAGTGCACGCAGAAGCAGAAGCTGCCCTTCCCCCATCCCTGTACCTCCCAAATGAACCGATTGCAGCTCCATCCCGCATCCTGACCTGGCTGGGCAGCACTTGCTGGTCACCTCGCTCGCCCCCCACCCCTTGCTACAGCACTGGTGGAACAGTTACCAAGTCTTTTTGTGACCTTATACATTGTGTGGTGGCAGGCGCATGCAGCCAGGCCTTGCAAACACACTAATTAGTGAGTTTGCAGGGATCTGGGTTTACCATTTGCAGCAGAAAAATGTGGATTTTCTCTTTTAAAGGAGAAAAACGTGGGAAACCGTGGGTTTCCTTGCACTGCTGGCAGCATAGGGGCAGTGGCAGGGGCACTGAGTTTCACCACCCTGCTCTACCCTCCTGCACCGGGTCCCACCTGCTGGGCCACAGAGGCGACTCCTACCTGTGCCGGTCCAGCCAGGCTGCAGCCCTGTGCTCTGCTGTGGGCACACAAATCTGAGGAGGTACATGCCCCCTATGCCCCCTTGAATGCCTATGCCACCACCTATGGTTGGGCACCTCCCCTGCCCCACACACCCGAACCCTGTCCCACACTCCCTGCCCCCTTCCCCACATATTAGGGGGCTGAGGCCTGGGGGCAGAGAGCAGAGAGTCAGGAGTGAGGGGCACCAGGAAGGCTGATGGGGGTGGGAGGCTGCAGGTTGGGAGTGAAGCGTACCTCCGGGGGCAGACGATTTGGAGTGAAGTCTTGGGGTCCGTGGCTTGGGAGTGAGGAGCACCAGCATGGGTAGGGGCAGGGGACTGGCATACTGCTGCTTGGCACTATGAAGCAGTAGGGAGGACAGCTGCACCTGGACCCACATCCTGGTGAGCAAAGGGGGCACCTTTCTAAATATATACATATTTAGAATTTATTTTATTATGAAGATTGAGGCACTGTTTGCCTTACAAATTGATTTAAGATTGTAAATATATCAATAAAACATTTTTATATAAACAATTGTGTTCAACTGATACCTATATACAGCTATATATATCTATATATAATATAGATGCATTTAATTTTAATTGTGGAAAAATAATCATCACCAGACCTGCATCCTGGTGAGTGAAAGGGGCAGGGGAAGCTCTGATTTTCTATGATGGAAAAACCAAAATCAAAGGCCAAAATATATAGGTACTTAGAATTTATATTCTACTAATTGAGGCACTGCTAGGCTCCCAAATTGCTTCAAAATTGTAAACATATCAATAAAACATTGTGTTCAGCTTATACCTATTTATATAGTGGTTTCTCACTTTAATTGTGGAAGGAAACAGATTTTTAATTAGAGAATTTGGGGTTTTAGATCTGAGATTTTGTTATTTTTCAACAGAGAAAACCAGGATCCCTCGCAATGAGGGAAGCTTTCCTTGCTGATAGTCATAGACTTCTCCCCTCCATAAGGTCGTAGTCCTCAGGGCTGCAGAAAAATCCTTTGCAAAATGAATATAGTGAAGAGATCCCCGGCAGAGCCCAAGACCTGAGCAACCCCCAACTCCGTTCCAGATGGTGGGAGATCGGAGGTCCCAGCCCTACAGACAGTCAGGCCCACGGGGCCTTATGAGCCATTCCCTGACTCTTCCCAAAGAGCCTGCCCTCCCTGATATGGTTTCTCTCTTTTCCTGGCAGCAAAAGGCAGCAACCAAGAGACAGAAGATTGTGGATGAATTTGAAGGACTGCACCAGTTTCTGGAGAAAGAAAACCAACTCCTGCTGGCTGAAGTGGGAAAGCTGGAGAGGGGGATTGAGAAGAGTCAGGGGGAGACTATTACCCAACTCTCCGAGGAGATTTCCCGTCTCAACAACCTGATCAGGGAGCTGGAGGAGAAGTGCCAGCAGGCAGCCAGTGACCTTCTGCAGGTGAGGCACATGAAATGCCTCCAATCCAAGAGCAAGGGAGGGAAAGGCTTAAATCTTGGGTCTGCCGGGACCAGGTGTATAACTGAGGAGGGGTGACAAGGGCACAGGCCCCAGGCAGACACTTGGCAGCAGCGGGCTTGCCTACACATCCCTGTTTGGTGACATCGGTACTGCTCCGTGTTTTAGGACTTGCTTGGGGGAAGTACAAACAGACAATGCAGCAGCCACCCATACTGCAGTATACGGGTGGTGCATGACTGGATTCACCTGTTACATTGCCATAGTGGCACACTATAGCTAGGCAGCGCACTGCTACAGCAACATAGCCGGTAATTATGAGTAGACACACGTGATTGCTACATCACTGTAGTGCGCTGTACAGCTGCGAACCGCATCACAACGTCACCGTAGAGTGACATGTAGATGCACCCAGTGATGGAGATGTAGAATATCAGCCACAGCTGCTGCTGCCCTGTGCACTTTCGCTGCCCAGGGTGCACAGCTGCCCTATTTTGACACTTGGAGGAGTTGGGGGTGGGATCACTGAGTTGCAGCTGCACTTTCCCCAGATCCTTCTGTGTGCGGCACTTGGGCTCTGAAAACAAAGCGTGTCCCCTTGAGCATTGGGTCCCCAGGGTGTGGTGCATGGCACTGAGCTCACTTTTCTATCTTTTTCTCTCCCTTTAGGACATCAGGAGCACGCTGAGCAGGTACATGGCTCCACCTCACTCCCCATACAGGGAAGGGTCTTGGAGACAATGCAATGGGCACATCTCTGCAGGGCACCACAGCACAGCAAGCGCTGGGACTGCCCCCGAGATGGGAAGAATGAAACGTCCTCTTCTCCTCAGGGTAGTGATGGCTTTGGGCACTTGCAGCCTGAGGACTGTAGAGCTGTAATCTGGGCCTTCCCCCTCTTGCCCCTGGGGGATCAGTCCTGGCCACCAGAGCTTGAGCCAACTGCCCGTGAAGTCTCAGCTCCTTCCTGATCCCAAGAAATGTCCTGGGTATTTCCCTGCTGGGGGAGCTGCCACTGCCACTGCCCGTGCTGCCCCTGCAGCTGAGGCACATGGACAGAGTCCGTCTCCAGGTCCCTCTGTCGACCCAATGCTATTATTACCTTGGAGCTGAATTTCAAAAGGGAAATCAAATTAACACAGACTAGTTTTTCCCAGGTGCAAGGATCAGTTCCAGCTGCCAGAGTGGACTTGTCCAGAGCTGAAAACAAGATTTAGCATCTTGTCTGGAAAATACCTAGCTCTACAGGAAACTTTGAAGAAGTTTCAAGGTACTGAGTAGGGGGCTGTGAAAGGGAAGATGGCAGTGTCTCTGTTGGGTACAGAGTGGGGGAGGAGACAAGCAGTTGGTTCATATTTGGAGCCGATGGCTTTTTTATTTGGGAGAGAAAGTGAATGTCCTGGGCTGATATCCCAGGTATGAAGCCACAAGGATAGGGCCTCTCTTTCCCTTTGGGCACATCACCAATGAACCAGAGCTCCTCAGGGACTCTGTGTTGAAGCTGGAGAGCTGCAGCGCCCCTGCTGCTCCAGCACTGCTCAGCATGGGCACCTGCAGCTGGGGTGCTGGGAGCTGGGGGGCTTTACCCCACTCGCAGCCAGGCTGCAACACCTCGTGTCAGGTCACCAAAAAGCCTAAATTAAAGGAGAGGCAGGTTTTCAGGTTTGAAGCCTGCTGGCTTGGGCCTAGGGAGTGCAGGAAGGGAGGGTCCCTGATGGCCAGGAGAGGAGCTGGGAGGAAGGAGGGTCAGGGAGGAGCAGGGAGGGAGCAGAGCAGGCAGATGGTCTGTGGCCTGGGTGAAGCTGCACCTCTGGTATCCTGCAGCCTGTGCAAGCCCTTGCCTGTTCCCTCAGCTAATGGAGGAGGAAGTTGTAAATCTTATTTGCCAGGGGCTCTCCCTCCAACTCCACTGCTTGTCCCTTTTTGTCACTGAGTGGCTCTTCCCCAGTGCCTAAGGGGACAGGATGGACTCCAAACTGAACTCCCCTGGGTCCAAGGCTGCTAAAGTCCTCCCTCTGCCTGCACCTGCAGCTCCCTCCCTCCCTGCCATTATGGAGAGGAGCAGAGGGAGATGGAGGCAGCTTCTGCAGCTACAATCCCAGCAGCTGGGGGAGCAGCTGCCCGAGTGTCTCTGCTCAGTCTCGGGCTCAGGACCAAGGCAGGCCACAGCCAGCAGCATGAACCAGATGTAGGAAGTCTAATGATTGTCCCCCTTTCCCCTGCAGAGGCTCTGCCATCTGAGCTGGAGAAGGGATCATACACAAAGGGTAAGCGCTGGGGGAGCTGATCCCGGATCCCACAGAACCTGTGCCTGCCCCTCACAGGAGAGGCAAACCCTCTCCCAGCCCAGTACCAAAACCCACTGTGCTGGGATCTGGGGCACTGGGCTAGGATTTTCCTGTCCTTGCCTATGAATTTGCTGCCACCTTCTCCCTTTCCCCTGGGCAGGGGCTGTCCCCAGTGCCAGGACAAGGAGCTGCGGGGCCCTCCTTGCTCAGCTCCTGGGGCCAGGACAGTCCCAGGCAGGACGGGGCTGCTGGGGAGGGGGAGGAACGGCCCTGCCTGGCCCACGGCTGAGCTCTGCCCTGATGCTGCGATTCTCTCTCCCAGCGACGGTGACTCTGGATCCAGACACGGCTCATTCCTGGCTTGTCCTGTCTGAAGATCAGAAGAGTGTGAGATATGAACAAACGCGGAAGCGTCTGCCCGAGAGTCCTGAGCGATTTGAGTCCATGTCCTGTGTGCTGGGCCGTGAGGGATTCGCTTGGGGGAGACACTGCTGGGAGGTGGAGGTAGGGGAGGGGTCTGGGCTGTGGGGGTCGCCAGAGATTCAGTGGCGAGAAGGGGATTGTACCGGGTTAGCCCAGAGGTGGGGATTTGGGCTGTGCAGCATAGCCATGGTCACATCCAGGCTCTCACTGCCCCTAAATGTACCAACCTGTCTCGGAAACTGGTGCCCAAGAAGGTCCGGGTGTGCCTGGACTTTGCAGAGGAACAGGTGTCGTTTCTCAATGCTGATACTGAGGACACAATCTACACTTTCCCGACGGCCTCGTTCACTGGGGACAGAATCCGGCCCTGGCTTCATGTCCGTTGGCCTGAATCCGAGCTCAGACTGTGCCACTGAGTCTGGTGGGGGAGGTGGGCATGTAGGTCTGCCGTGGCTTTCTGCCACACCATGCTACTGTGCAGTAGTTGCGGGCTACCACGCCATCAGTGTCTTGTGTAGACACGGCCACTAAGACCTAAACCCCTGAGAGCCTGGTTTGTCTGAAGGCAATGAAACTCATGCGACTTCCAACTTGTCCTCTCTCTACTGGCTCCCATGGCCCCAGTGCTGCCGCATTGTAGCACAACGCAGGACACTGACTGACAGAGCTAGTGGGCTGGGCTGTCTTCAGTGCCTGCTGTCTTGAACAGAAGGAACACAGGCAAACTTTCACGTATCACAGTCCTCCTCCTCAGGCACCTCTGGAAGCTTGCCCATGTTGATACCAGCCCTACAGTTGCTCCAACAAGATATCACCCACAAGAGCTCTTGCCTCTAGTTTCCAACAGAATTCAATAGACACTGCCTGTTCCTTGTCACCCTGCTACAAACAGCCTAGCTCAGGGGCAGGCAAAATACGGCGCAGGGTTTTCCCCGATGCCGCACGAGTGTGGGAACTGCATGCATACTGCGTGGAGCCCTGTGCTAGAGGCAGCCGGCTGCGCTCCCCACCCTTGCACACAGCGTTGGCTGGAGTCACACGCCGGGCACCAGCGCCTGCACTGGGCATGGGGGTCCTGAGCGCTCCTGCCTGCTGGTGCTGCCCTGTGGAGGAGTGTGTAGGGGTGTGTGGGTTGGGGGATCCCAACACCCCCCAGCATCCCTCACACTCCACAAATCTCCCACAACCTGCCCCCATAGCTCCCTTACATATACACCCCCCTCAACTTACCTTATGCTTCCCCACACACGCAGCCACATCCCCTCACAAACCCCCATACACCCCCCATACACACCCCAACCACCCCCCATACACACAATATACAAGAGTAAGACTTTATTTTTGAGTTATTATGCAATTGCCTTTATATATAGTATGCAAACAGAAACGACAACAGTATTTTTTGCAATAAAATTATAATATGTTATAGTAGGTGTTTAACTCTTAGTGTATGATTTGGTTTTTTTCTGTTCCATGCACCCCTTCCAAAGGAGTTGTTCCACGGGGCAAGGGGAGGGACTTTCGATGCAAAGGTCAGGGGTTAGGGGTGGGACTTCCAGCCCCAAAATGGCAAGCAAGGAGAGGGGCTATCCACGTGGCCCTCTACAGCTCACCAAAACTCGATTTGTGGCTTTCCAGCTGAGATAATTGCCTGCCTCTGGCCTAGCTGGAGGTTTCATACAAACATGAAGGCATGCTTTACGAGCCAGTCATTGTGCTCTAAGTCTGCAACACAGATTGCACCGTACCTTACTTGTGTATCAGAGAAAAATGTGGGTTATAGCATGTTTCCCTTTGCAGGCTGACAGAGTTCCAACCTGCAAGGGGCTGCTTGGGGCTGGGGGAAGTGGGAGGAGGGTGAACACGGATGGGGTACCACATGCACGTGGCAGCCAGGCAGCACAGCAGAGAGCAGCTGGTATGTCTATTGGGGGGTATAGGCAACATGGAGGGAAGGGGGTTTGGAGAGAGATTGAGGGGGGCGGCAGCAGTTCTCATGGAGCCCCCACACTGAGGGAAGGAGTGGGGCAAGGTTGGCTGCTGTGGCTGGGGCTGGTACAGGAAACCTGGGGCCTGGGACCGGGCCAGGAATTTGAGAACATGGGGCCCAGCCAGGGAGGGGGGTGGCTGGGGCAGGGGCTAGTAAGGGCGCTGGCTCCCCACTGTTGTGCGTATTCCCAGGGAGAGGTCGGGCACCATAGGCGATGTGTCAGAGGGGCATGGGGGCGCACTTGTCCTTTCAGATTTCTGCACAGGATGGGACTGCGGCTGACCAGATCAACGCGGGCAGGAGCTGCCTCCAAGGCCCAACAGGCGGCACCTGGCATGGGAGGGCAGAGCAGGGCAGCAAGAGTCCTCACCGCTGACACTACCCCCAGCAGCACAAGGAGTAACAGACTGGGAGGGGTGGGGGGCACACTGTCCTCACCTCCTCCTGCCCCAGCCAGTTGCATGCCAGGCCATGACTCTAACCTGCCACCATGGCTCGGTGACCACTGCTGCTCCCTTCAAGCCACCCACATGGACCCCCCCCTTTGCCTCCCCTTCAGATTAGAGCCATGGCCTGGTGTGCAAGCAGCTCGCAGTAGGCGGAGGTGAGAGCAGTGAGGCCTGCCCCTGTTCTCTTACTCCTCACACTGTTGGTGACACTGAAACAGCTGCAGGGGCACACATCCAGGAGGGGCCAGCAGGGAACTGCATGCTCAGGGGCAACCAGCATGGGTTCATCAAAGGCAGGTCCTGTCAGACCAACCTGGTGGCCTTTTACGACCAGGTCACTAAATCATTGGATGCAGGGGTGGCAGCGGATATAGTTTTCCTGGACTTCAGGAAGGCTTTTGACACTGTCTCTCACCCCATTCTCATTAGGAAGCTGGGGGACTGTGGCGTAGACACCCATACAGTCCAATGGGTCGCCAACTGGTTAGAGAGTCGCACCCAGAGGGTGGTAGTGGATGGGTCCTTCT